TGGAGGGTGGGGGGCAGGCAACAGAAGCTAAAATCATCGGAGGGCCAGAGCAGATAAGGAACATCTGAAAGACAGCCTCACTCAAACTCCCAATTTTTCCGTGTCAATTAACTGACCCATATTTGCTGACTGAAGAGTTTCCAAAGTCCTTCAGCCCACCTCGTGGCATTTTGAGGAAGCAGGATGAGAAGCATTCTCTTCATCTTCGAAATGATGAAGGTGAGGCTAGGCGAGCTGGCTCACCCTCACCATTGCCTCACGCTGGCTCTGGGTGGAAGGCCGCCTCTCTAAGGTGGGGAGGACTCGGGCATATTTTAGTATCAATGGCTTGCATTGATAATTACGTTGCAACCTGCATCTCTGTGTTGGAAGAAACTTCAGGGGTCATTTCATTGGACCTCCTAGGAGCTGTAGTGCTGTGTGACTGCGTGCAAGTCACGGCTCCTCTGAACTTCAGTTTCTGCCATCGGCAAACAGAGCGATGGAGAATGGTATCTGGGGGTCGCACAACTAAAGACACTGAGAAATTTGATGACCCCCAAACTGCCGGTGCTTTTGGATGTTACCCTCTTCCCTTTGCAGGAGTCACCACACCCTAAATAAAACCCCTAAATAAAACCACAGAAGTTGTCGACTAAGAATTTGCAAAGCTGATTTGCATGTGATTTGCACAGCGTGTTTATCGGCGCCCAAAGAGGTCTACTCTTCAGAAGGCTGTGAGGCTGGCCCTGATCAATCTCTCAGGACAAGACTCACTGTGCCCGCTTGATCCAGAGACAGTGGCCCTAGCTCTGAGCCACCTCAGTGCCCAAGGGAAGGCAAAGGGGCTGGGCGACAGGGACTGAAGTGGTTTAAGGACAAAGCCATCACTAATACATCCACCTAGGCGCTCGGACTTCCTTACCGGGCCCCCCCCTCAGCAAAGACAAAGTGTTCGATTTCATTCTGGCTAGAATGCCACTTTCTGGGGGGTCACCTTGGTGCACCCAGAGGCCCCATTCTCTTCTCCTTGGGTGAAGTGCAGGGAGAACTCAAGAGGGCAGAAACCAAAGAAAGGGAGTGATGGAGGAGGAAAAGGGGGATGGAAGGGGATGGAAGGGGAAGGAAGGGGTGACGGTCAGGGGGCTCAGGCTCCCTCCTTCAACATCCCTTGAGGTCACTGGGGGAGGATACCGGGCCCTGGGCCAGCAGCGGGACTTTTGGGGCTCCCCTACAGCCTTGGGTCCCTGCAGGGAACCGGACCGGAAGAGCCCATCGCCCTCTCACCTTTTATTTGCGTCTCATACTCGGCCTGCAGC